TGGTAAGAAATTTAGACCATTTATCTTGGCTTGGGTATGAGGAACGATCTGGTCTTTTCAGTATTCACGTTAGACTTGGGACAACTGAATTTTGATTTCTTAGGCCATCATTGTCATGCAAAACCAAGTGTTGCAGATTATAGTAATTAGTGAGTATGCAGCTGACACTGTTCTCTGGGTGCAGCAAACTTGCCTCACAGGTTTTTGTACTGTGAAGGCAAGTGCATGAAAACTCGTAAATTGAGTTGGAAATGTGTTGTAATAAAGACTAGCTAAGGCCTATGCTATTTTATTTTCTTTTTTGAAAAAACACACTTTTCCTGAATTCTCCCCTGCTTCATCTTGAAAGAATGATTTTACTTCCACCAAAGCACTGGTGGAAGAATGCCAGACTGGTCTCATGTCTGTCTGAACATCTGTGTCCTTGATAGGTGCACATGCTTCTGTCCTGTCAGGGTCAGGTTGCTTGTTAAACACTGTTATACTGGTTTGTTTTCTTAGACTTCAACTTTTGCTGACTCCTGCTCCTTTTCCCCAAAGGATGTTCTCTGCTCCTCTCCCGTGGCCTAATTTATCAGAAAACCACCTGTTTTTAAGTGTGTGCCACTGACAGCTGCCATGATGGCACAGTGGAATTCCTCTGTGTGCTCCCTCACTTCCAGTTGTGCCCCCTTAACTTACAAAGGGAGAAAAAAATGTGCCTGATAAGTGGAATATTTTGTTGTGTTGCTCTAGAGCTGGCAATGTCAGGACTGCTAAATGTGTGTTTCCTCTCTTACAGTGGATCCAGAGGATCTGTACATTGTAGAACCTCTGAAGTTTTCCCCAGAGAAGAAGGTACTGTGGGGTGGGGTGGGAGGGCTGGTGGGGCTGAGGTGCTTGTGCTGGGGGGTGATTGAAGGTGTGTCTTGGCTGCTCCGCTTCCCTTCCAGAACCTCACTGTTTCTTTTTTTCATTTGTGATTTCAGAAAAAGCGTTGCAAATACAAAAGTGAAAAGCCAGAGACTGTTAAGCCGACAACAGAGCCTGTGCATCCCATAGCCAACGGGGAAATCAAAGGAAGGAAGCCCTTCACAAACCAGAGGGACTTCTCTAACATTGGGGAAGTTTATCACTCTTCCTATAAGGGCCCCCCATCCGAAGGAAGCTCCGAAACATCATCACAGTCTGAGGAGTCTTATTTTTGTGGCATTTCAGCATGTACCAGTCTGTGCAATGGACAGACCCAAAAGACAAAAACTGAGAAGAGAGCTATAAAGCGAAGACGGTCTAAAGTTTCAGACCAAGGGAAGCTCATAAAAACTCTGATACAGACTAAGTCGGGGTCAATGCCAAGCCTGCATGACATAATCAAAGGAAACAAAGATATAACAGTGGGAACACTTGGTGTCACGACAGTGTCTGGACACATCTAAAACTAGCTGAACTTCTCAAACAGGGGAGTGTTTGTTCATTTGAGAACAGTCTGTGGTATTCTGTGGGAGGATAGTGGGAGACAAAGAGCTCAACCAATTGGAAAGTATTCAGAAATTTGGTTTCTGCCTTTTTAAAATAGATGGGATTGTGTCAATCTTGGCTATAAGCTGCAGCTTTACAAGGCTGATAATTTCCTATGAGAACAGCTTGGGGGGGAGGGCAGGGTTCATTTTATAAAGGTTTTTTTTCACAGTTCCTGGGACAGAGATTTTTTGAAACCCAGTTTGTTGGGTGGAATAGGGATAAAAGCCTAATCCTCTTCCTTTAGCTTTGTTCCTATTTCTTGCACCTTCCCATATTTATGTGCCTTTTGTCTATTTATAATGCCACTGGAAGAGGGGAGAAACAATTGTTTGTCATTTGATTTATTTTGTAATTTCTCTAGCTTTTTTTGAAGATGCAACACTACAGTGCTGTAAAGGGACACGTGTTGGCCTTCAGCTGGACTCGGTAATGTGGACTGGATACTGTAAAAATACCAATAGATGGACTTGCCTGACTAGATTCTGGTTTTGCAAACTCTGAGGAAAATATGTCAGCAGGGTTGGTAACTGTGTTAATTTGCACCTTGAGTCACAAATGTGAGCTGTAGTCTGTGCAAAATCAGTGACGGTGGCTCTCCAGGATTTCCCATGTGCAGTGGAACCTGAGGCTGATGAATGCATTTGTCATCTCAATGGCCTGCTGCAGTCCTCTGAAGGAAGTGGATGAAGAATGCTCACTGTTGTTGTGCTGAGTTCAATGAAAGCTCAGCTGAAGAACGAGAGGGTGAGCCTGGTGCAGCCGGGCCGTTCTCCGAGCCGGTCTGGCTGTGCTGAGTTTGCAAAGCCTTGGAGTCTGAGCAGTCGGGCTGGTTCACTGGGGGTATTTCCACAACGTTTGCTTTTGTATTGGCTAACAAATGTGCAGTGTTGGTATGGTTGGTATTTCATATTCAAGTGTTTTTTATTTTGACTGTGATTGTATATTTGGATACTATAGGATGTGTGGTTGCTAAAATGTTGTGTGATTCTGAATGAGTGGAACAAAAGGTTATTCTTTTTGACAGGTGTTACAGGTTCACGTTGTACAAAATAAGTTAACTTATTGAGCACTTTTAGTGGTACCCTTTTTAACAGATCTAATGCCTTTCCTGGGTATTGTATGTAATGTGACTTATTTAAAGACTTTGGGTTTTTTTGCTGCTTTCTTGTTAGTTTTTGAATACTTTAAAGTGATGTACTTTCAGAGTTGATCTGCACAATTAGCCAGTCAGAGCACATGAACCAGACGTGTTGAACCTGAATTCAGAAGGGTGTCAAACCTGGATTAGGAAAATACATACCACCAGAGTGCAGCATCCAATGTTGTGGAACAAGAGTATGTAACTACAGAACTGTAGTGCCATTAGAAACTGTGAATTTCCAAATAAATCTGAACACTTTGTCTTTCATTTACTGGCATTTTTCCTTTGAAAATGAAACTTGTGGCTTAAATCATCTGAGAAGGACTGTTCTTTAATTTTCAGTCTAGGACTAGGACCAGGTCCTTTGGCCCTGGTAAGAAGTTCATAAACTCAGCCTAAATGTATTTGTCTATTTAAAGAAAGAAAAGGGGGAGGTGAATTCTGAAGGCCAAGTTGTGCTTTGTCTGAAAGTTCAGGAATTGTGGCCCTGTGAAACTGCTGGATAAGTTTCCAGCAGGTCAGTTCACACCTTGCCCAGGGGGATCCCTGGTCATGGTGGCTTCCTGTGAGAATGACAAACCTTAGCTCTGAGTATCAAGAGGTCATTTCATGCAGTCAAAGATATAAAAGGCCCTGAAAGGAAAAGGTTAGGGAGTCATTTATTATTTCAAACCAGAGTTTTCAGCTTGGTTTGCCTCTTACTGGTCCCTCCCTCCTAACTTATTTCTGTCAAGCACAGCAGCACTGCGTGCAGCCAAATGCTGAATTCACAGGCTCTCCAGCACTGATTTTTTTCACTTGAGTATCTCAAGACTCTCTGCTTCATCATAGCACTGTTATTTAAAAAGCAATTTAGTGTGGGTTTTGCTGGGGGGGGGGATGGGGAGAGTGGCTGGTTTTTTTGGGGGAAGGTGTGGACTTCTTTTATTTACTCCTTTCTCTTGATATGTCACTTGTAGGAAACTGTGTACCTTCATTGCCCAGGCAACCACTGGGCTCTTCTCTTCAGTAAGAATCACCTGAAACTGGACATGTCTGAATTCTTAAAACAGCCCATCTTTACTCTCTGCTATGAACCAAAGACTGGCAGGTATATACTAGGCTGATAAATGTTGAATGAGGCTCCACGTTTTTTATGACCCACCCAGAAGAGGAGGGTAACCCAGGTTCTTGTTAATAAATCCTTTGGGGTGGATTAGAGTGAAACAACACTGAATAATTGGTGTTTGTAAACATATGTATATATATATACGTAGGGTTTATTTTAGAACAATTTTGTTTCAAAGGTAAACAAGTGTGTTGCTGTTTTGGGTGCCAACATCTATAGTGATACAACAATATTAAAGCATAGCAACATTAAGGCATAAAAATAACACTTAAGAAAATGTGTAAGGGAGAGAAAGGGAAAGAAAGGATAAGGGTCCTAAGATATATATACATATGTAGTCACCACCCACTGGATGCAGCAATGAAACTTGGTAGTTGCAGCTTCCATGTCTGTTGGTTGAAGTGATGGTCTTGATCTGTTGGGGCTGGGGGAAGACACACACACACACACACACACCCCAAACCTCAAAGATTTCAAGCTCAGGTGGGAATGCCTTGTACTCCCTCTGGGGTGGGGAGTTTTTCAGTGGATCATGTCATGGGACATGTCACGAGTCTTGGATGCTCCCCAGAGGGATCTTCACAGCAGAGCCATCATGTAAGGGAGGACACTGGCATGATAAGAAGGATTATCCTGCTTCTGCAGGATTTGCCTCTTCTTTTTTCTGGCAATCCAGTTTGTAGCTTCAGGTAGGGGGTAGCTGGACCATAGCACCCACTTGTCTGATCTGAAAGTTCTTTCCCAGTAGCACATTCAGGGAGGGGGAGGCTTTGCTGGTTGGGCAGCTGTTTCTTTTCAGTTTGCTACAGTGGACAAAAGTCTTTTGGTGGTACAGCCAAACATCTTACAATGTTTAGGCCATTGACTATTTCAGTCTGACAATGTTGAAATTCCAAGCACATGTTCACATTTCCAAGTTAACAGTTTCAGATGTCAAACCAAATGCCGTCTAAACCAATCCTTTAATAACCCTGTGCTCTCTTTACATTTTAAGCACTGGGCATGACTTAGATCTAAGGAGCTGCCGCATTCTGTGGAAGAGTATCAGGGATAAAGCTTGTCCTGTAATGAACAGGAAATGTGCCATGGGAATAACACATCTGAAGGAACCTGCAGAGCTGATTGTGCTTTTGCAGACTCGAGAGTGTGTGCTCTGGCAGGAGATTGGAGATTGAACCACAGCTTCCACCTTCTGCTGACTTCCTGCTTTTAAGTATCTGTAACCACTGTTTTAAAAAGGACTCTCAACATCACGTTCTTACTGCTTAATGTTGTCCTTTCATGTGGGCTCTTGAGTAATTTTTTACTTTCAGTTGTATTAATATCATGCAATCTAGCTTTCAAAATCTGATTCTTTGGTGGAATCGGGTCTCTCAAATTGGTTATAATCTTTATATAGGGAATAATAGTTTCTAATGAAGACAGTCTTTAAATCTGAATGAATTCCTCTGGTGATGTGGATACTTCAGTGGGGGGGTCCTAGTCCATCTTGTGATATTACATATCACATATCTGAGATTGGACAGCTGCTGATGTAAAATACCAAGAAGCCAGTGTGTGTGTGCTGAGTGAGGATGGTGTCCTTCAGACCGTGGGCAGGTCTGGAGCCCATGGTCAAAAAACATCTACAAAATGCAGAGGTTTCCTCAGGGGGATGGATAGTCACAAACATACACCTTGTGTAAGTGAATTACCAGCTGTGGTTGACAGAAGAAGGCATTTAGGTTATATACATTAAGTATCAAGAGAGGAAAAGCAATATTTTTTAAATATGGAAACTCTACCAGTGGTTTGGTGTTGTAAGTAGAGAACTCAGGTGTCTCTGTGTGGCTTCTGCTTTTGCCAAGTTACAGCACGAGATGAAGCAAGATGGAACAGCTTAGCATGCTTTGCTTTACTGGGTACAGACATGTTCCACTTGATCTGGAACAATTAAAGTGTAGAGCCCTGACCACAAACTGCTGTGAGCAGGCACCGGGTGGCTCATCTGGAAACCCGAAGTGTCAAACAGCGCTGGGTGCTGCGGGAGACATCGCTGTGGTTTGTGAGAGCTCAGAGATAATCTGTGCCCCCAGAGCTTGTCTAGAGAAAATGCTTTAGTTTAGGAAAGGGTGCTGAAATGAATCTTTCTTACTTATCCCTTCTCTAATTTAAGGATAGTAATTTCAAAGGAAGTTTCCAAGGAGCTTTCTGCTGCCTTGCTGCTGTCTCACATTGGACACGTGGCCTGGGAGCTGCAACTGGTCTCACCTGTGCTGCTTTCCAGTGGCATCACCCAGTAACTCCCACATCAGCAGTACAACTTTTTGTAGGGAATAGAGAGGAAATTAGTTCTGCACTTTGTGGACCTAGAGATGGAAAATGTTTGCCAGCCTGAGGCTTGTTTTTCCTTTGTTAGATGTTGTCAGAGCCTACATCCAGCTGCCAGGCCCTCCACAAACTCGCAGCAAACAAGAATCCCTATTTCTTTTCTCCCAGAAAAATAACTTAAAGCAGGTAATGAATCTTCTGTTAGTCATAATTTGACACAGTTACTGCTGGAACATCAAGGTTGTGTAGACTGCTCATGAAACCACCTGTAAGCTCAAAGTTAAATCCCAGGAAAGTCAGCTGAAGGTCCCTCGGGGTTTTGGGAAGTCAACTGATATCTGTGTAATGAGATGGGCACACCTGCTGCTGGGCTCTCTGTCATGAAACCAATGCTGGAGGACCTGAATTTGCTGAGTGACCTGGAGCTGAGGTGTGATCCTGGTGGACTCAGTGAAGATCTCAATGTAGATCTTGGGGGATTTTGTTGGTTTTTTGTTGTTGCTGGTTGGCTGGTTTGGGGTTTTTTGTTTGTTTGTTTTATGGGCTGAGGCTGCTCCCAAGAAAATGAAATTGTCAAATACCGACTAGGCCACATTGGCCAGCAGAGCTAGCTGGTGTTTTCCAAGGCAAAGCCTGGCATTGTGCTGAGAACCTGGAGCAGGGCACAGACACTGCTGAAGAGCTTGTGAATGCAGTTCTCAGCTGTCACTGGGGAGGAGTCGGGAAATCAGCATCTGCACGTTCTGCTTGGTCTTCCTCACAACCTCTAAGTGACCACAGCACCTCATTACATTTTCTCCCATAACTAAGCTATTGTATCATATGAAATGACCTGCTTCTGTTTCTCAGAATAGATCCCGTTACCTCATAACCACTATACCTCATTTCCTTGTTCAAAAGAAATGAAAGCAGCAGAGTAATATTTTAATTATTCCTCTTTTTCTCAGCTGCTTTGGCTCCTTGGATTCTCTCCCACCTCAGGACAGAGCCCTGTACCTGTTTTGCTGAATTCAGGGCTGCTGTCTGTTTGTTGGGATCATGGTGACAGAGAGGACAAAGCCCCTTGCTCACTGGAAGAGGGACATATTAAGCGCTGCAACACCAGTCCTGAGCTGTTAGCAGTGGATTTTGAAACCTGCTCAAGTGTGAGTATCTGAATGTCCCCCGTATGAGCTTTTGGCACCAAGACATGGCTTTACATGTGCTGTAAATGCTTCTAGCAAGGAGAGCAGTCACTGAGGAAATGAAAAGCGTCATCCTCATTTGAGAAACCAAACTGTTAAAAAAGCATGTAATAAAGAAACGACCTGAAGATGTCAGCACCAACTGCAAAGGCTGAGTGAGTTCAAATGTCTTCCATGCCTCCCCAAGGCTTCAGTAGATGAAGATCGTCTCCCTTTGGAGGCAGCTCTTACAAGCATCCATGCTAATGTTCAGTCAAAAATCCATGTCCTTTTTTTTTTTTGTTAGAACTCCTTCAGCTGTGGCTCCCTGGGAAGGTTTTTATTCTGTGAGATTCAAGAGCACTCTGCTGCTGGAAATTGTCCCTGTTTGTACAGGTTCTCCACACACTGTCCATCCCTCCCTGCCAATCTGCTCTTCAATGCACAGAGTTGAATCCCTGTCCAGCAGTTACTGCAACTTCTTCCAGAGCCTCTCCAAAGTTGAACATAGACTTGGAAGTGAGTTCCAGGACTGTCTGTGACTGACTGTAGCTGTCTGGTGCTATATGTGAGCTCTTGTGGGGGTACCTAAGGGAACTCATGGGCTTCCCCTACTGGGAGCTCATGTCCATCTGAGGAGCCTCAGTTTCAGAACTATTTTCTTTCTAATATCATATTGTCGCTATTAACCCCATCATCGTATTTTCTACCTAAAGAGCTTGATTTGAAGTCTTTGTTTCTAGACTTTTCTTCTTCCCTGTCCTCATGGTTTTGAATACTGGTTTTTGAATGCGAATGAGTCTCAACTTCCTCACTTCTTGGGTGTAATTTATGCAGGCCTGTGGGCTTTCGGGAGTTGCTTTTTGGCATTTCCACTAGTCATTAACGTAATAGGAAACATTTGTTAATCGCTTTCAGACAGACTCTGCCCAAAACATGATGAGAGCCTCTCCTACACAGAGGTTCACACTTAAGTTTGTATTTTTTTATATTCTGTCAAGTGTTAGATCTGGATCACTGTTCAAGTGAACAATGGGATATTTCTTTGGGATATTTCAGGCGAGTCATCCTTTTGTCCCTAAATCTGCTGATACAAACTTGTAGCTGCTGGCTGATTCTCTGCTGTCAACATAAACTTTAGTACAGTTGTGTGTATTGTTAGTAAAAGCTCCCATGTCTCCTCTGGGAGTGAAGTGGTGATGGAGAGTGTTCTTCTGAGCAAATCCTTTTCTTCAGTCTGTATCATGTTTTTTGTTGGTTTGGCAAAGGGGGACAATTCTCTGACAAAGCCTCTGGAAGGTATTTCCCTTTGAAAATACTCTTTTCTGTTCAAATGACATAATAAGGCTGCTGGAAACAGAGTATGCATCTTGCAGACTGGCTGAAGAGGGGGATAGGGAGGCAGATGGAAAAATCTGATACCCTTTTTGTCGTCCTTATGCCCTCCTTTCCTGCCTAGCTGTCCGTGTCCAATATTTCAGGAGGGCTTAACCTTGTCTAAATCAATGCCAACTGCTCTGTGACTCTGTCATCTTGGTGATATCTGAAGCTGTTGACAGGGAAAACGGAGTGTGACAGCAGCACCAGCACAGTACAGTGTGTGGAAGGGAGAGGTCCCTGAAAGAATGTTGTGCACCAAACACAGTCCTTTGATGGTAAAATATCTGTGATCATTGGCTTGCCATGACGTGGTATTAGCAGGCTCTTGACTGGAGCATTCAAAAGCAAAGATGCAGCTGAAATGGCTTTAGCTGATTTCATTGTCTGTCCCTCTCGCCCACCTATTAAAAAAAGCATTTCTGTGAAAATAGGAAGCAGTGGGTGAGAAATAAGAGCCCTTCTGACATTTAAGGGAGATTGCTGCTGTGCCCTCAATCCCACTGGGATAAGATGTTGGCATTAAACACGGTGTCAGGGAAAAACTTGGGAATGGATCATCTCCAGGCAAAGCCACTGTGTGACACTCTCTTGTAATGGCCATGGGAGTGGATAGGGACCTGTCCTTGGGCTGGCTAGGGAATGCTGCTCTGGGGGGCTGAGAGAGGGAAGGCATAACCCAGCTTGAACTGTTGGAGTTGGATTTATGTCGCTTTGTGTCTTTTATGTCAGAAGCCTAGAAGTGCAAAGAAGAGCCAGTTGGGGTTGTTGAAACCTCTTTTGCTGCACATCGCTGCTGCAGCAAAGGGCTGTGGTGAACATCTTCAAAAAGCAGTGGGGTGTCTGGTGGTGCAGGCATGGCTTTGACAGCACATTTGATTTATTGGTGTGGTTGGAAGCAGAGCTGAGCCCTTGTTTTGGAGAAACAAGTGTACATACATTATTCAAGTGTGCTCTTCTCAGATCCCAGTTTTGATGTTCAGGATCAAAGCCTGTGTGTTGGGATCGCTTCCTTCAGCCACAAATCTCCAGTTTGTTCTTGTATCAAACATTTTAGTTTTTTAACACTACTATACAAATACACACTTCTGGAAAATGCCAGAACAAACTGTTTATAATCACTTGTGTGCACCTGTAAATCTTCAGGAAAATCTCATTGTCACCACTCAGAAATCTGCGGTCAATGAGGAATGGAAATGTCCCTGTCTCCCTTCATTAGGATTTTGTAACGAGCTCTTATAAGTGCTGGTCCTTGCAACATAGCCTGGATTCTGGATGATTTCTTGAAAGGCAAGAGAAATTCTACTACGATGAGTGGCACTGTTTCTGCCCCTGGCTTTAGTCATGAGATACCCAGCCAGGTTCGATCCTGCTGCAGTGCTCAGCACTGACCTGGAGAGATGATGAAAAAGCCCTTCCCTCTGTGAGGCTTCTTCAGGTTAGAAGAGGTCCGTGGGATTGGAGATAGTATTTGCAAAGGTATGAGGGGCAGCAGAAGCTGTCAGAAGAGCCTGCTTGTGCCCCAAGGCACTGTGTGTTCCACACATTACAGCAGTCCCCTGGTTGAGCCTGGATAGTGCCCCGGTGGATCAGTGGGGGTGAGGGCAGCCCACCGAGCTCTGCTTGGGCTGGTAATGCTGGGGCTGTTTGGGCTGCAGCACTTACTGTGTCCTCCTCTTCTGACATAGATTTTTATCACAGTGGGATGGTGTCTGTGACCGTGTTCTGTGACTCAGGATCCATGCGAAGCAGCCAAGGAAAAGGTCGGATGCAAAACACACAGTGGTAAGGAATTTGTCCTGTGTGAAATGAAGTGACTCCCCAGCACTCACAGCTGCATTTGGCATTCGTTCCTCATCCTTCTGCCGAGGGCAGAAGTCATAAGCTCTGTCTCTGCCCTCTGCCAGAGGTTTTGTCGTTCCTTTTGCACTGCTTGTGGTCTAGGACACCTCAGCGGAAAAGCAGCTGCCTCTGTCCGAGTGGGCTGCTGGAAAGAGTGGCTGGTGGCGGGTATGAGCTATCACTCAGCCCCAGACTGGCAGCGCAGCTCTCGTACCTCCAGCCCGTGGCTGCGGGAGCGCGTTCGGCTCCCGAGCCCCGCGGGCTGGTCCCGCTGCCTCTCGGGGGAGGAGCAGGTTCGTGTCCCGAGCCTGCAGCCGAGGGCGGAAGCTCTTTGGGGTTTGCTGTCGGTGCTTGAGGCTTTCAGAGAGTCGCAGCATCTGAGCCGGGTGTTCACCGGATGCAGGGATGCAGGCGTACAAAGGCAGAGCTGGGTGCTCCCCCAGGGCTCAGACTGGGACAACCCCGGCAGTTTTTGGCTGCCATATGGAGGACCACACCAAGCGTGTCCAGCCCATCCCGCTCCCGGCCATGCAGCAGAACTTGAACTACAGGTACCCCCAGATTTTTTGGGTGGATAGCTGTGCTGAAGCAAGTACTTCCTGCCCCTCGGCACCCCCTGTTGCTCCTTTCCCACCACCAGTACCGGACCGGAGGAAAAAGCCAGGGAAAAACAGGGAAAGGAGGGGCTTCGACTTCCTGGTGATCTACTTGCTGCTCCTGCTGGCCTTCGCTGGAATGGGGCTGAGCATGTTTCGAATTTTTCACCTGGAGAAGGAACTGGCTGAACTCAGAGAGGTGAGGTTTGCCTGGCTGGTCACACATCCCTGGGGAAAGAGGGAAAAGGAAAAACTTGAAATTGTGTCTGAAATGCTCAGGGTGGTGCAAAGCTCCCCAAGGGACAGGATGGTGCTACTTCAGTGTCTGCCGTGACAGAGTATGCGAGGTTGCTTATTACTGTGAGGGACTGCTCAGTTGGTGACTGATGTATCTGGATGTCTTCGTGTTCCTGAGTGCTGTGAGGTCTCTGCCTGTACATTTCTTAGCACTTTACAGCTCCCAGTGAGCACCCAGAATTTGCCACTGTCAAAGACAGTCTTTGACTGCTTATGCTCTCATTCTAAGATACTGTCATTCTTCTCTTTTGACAGTCTGCCAGCGCTGAACACATCCCTCCAGCTCTGGAGAAACTCATAGGTGAGTTGATGTACTTGGATGAGGAACTCCTGTGTTATCAGGTGTGAGTGCTCCTGTCAAACTCCTTTTTTCATCAGGGGTCACAGCTTGATGCTCTGAGAGTGCTGATTTCTCTTGCTTGGCTGGACAAAGAGCTTTATCTCAGGGCTGTGGGGATGTGGTCCTGCAACCTCCCCGCTGGACTGCTCAGAGGTGTCAGCCACAGGTTCCTGGGACAGTCTGACAGATCCTGGGGCCTCCCATTCCCAGTGTGACAATGGTACTAGGAGTACTCTGCTGTGAAAGGGAGAATCTGGCTGCCCTGACACAGAGCAACAACATGAGTGAAGGAGGAGAAAGGAAATGGGCACTGGACGTGTTACTTCTTTCTCTCTTTACTCTTAGAAGATTCTGGGAGGAAGTAGAGGGGTCCATTTTCTTTGGAGTGAGGAATTAACTCCCACCCTTGAAAGCACACCTTATTTTTTCCTGAATTCTTTTGGTACAAAGCTAGTTGAGAAATGTTTGATTATATGCAGAGAGTTTTTCTCTTAGAAATGTAATTTCAGTGAAATTGAAACTTTCCACAAGAACCTGACAATCTTTCTAGACTTCACTTAGGAAAAAAAGAAGTTTCAATTTCAATGGAACAATTTAAAAATCATATTTTGAACTTCCAAACTATTATTTTTTTCATTTGCATTCCATGCTAATGTTGTCAGTGAGGATATCCTTCTTAGTGATGGCCAAGTCTTTAAAAGCTTTTCAGCTCTCTTGACAATTTTTGCTAGATTTGAAAGGTTTTACGTTATTTTCTCCCTTTGAGGATTTTAGTTAGTAAAAAAGTTAATGTCTTTCAAAATGTGTTCTGATACTGAATGCAAACACATTTGGAAATAGCAAAATTCTCTGGAAAGGGCAGTCCTGATTCCCATCAACTCCCATATTAATAAATTTTCCCCTTTAGGGAAAGAGGAACTGTCATTTTAACTGGATGCTCAATGCTCTGATCAAAAGCTTCTTTAGCAGAAGCCAAACAAAAGTAGTAACCCTGAATTTCTTGAGGGGATGGATAAATAAATAGAAACAGGGAAATAGTGTAAAGAAGAAAAGGGAGAGGATAGAAAAATTTAATTGGCTTGAGGAAAGAATAGGCTGCTTCTAAAATTAGAGGACATGAAGTAGATGCTGATAAGAAGGGAAGGATGGAGTGGGTGGGATCCCCATACTGAGTTGGTGTAACTGGCCCACCTGTCCAAGGGAAGCCAAGGCCCCCAGGAAAGGCAGAGTTTTCCCAGCTGTGCTCTGCCTCCCTGAGAACAGGGTCTGCCTGGCCAGAGGGGTGGTTTGCAGGGTCTCAAGTGACAGCTTTGTGGCTGGCTCCCTCCTGCTCTCTGGGCACATGGCTAATGTCTTCTCTATTTTTGTGCAGGGCAGAAGGAGTCAATGAAAAAAGAAGAAAGAAAGGCAGCACACTTAACAGGTATGTGCTGAGGGACCAGCAGGATTCGGGAGCAGGGGATAGGGCAGATGTGATTGGAGTGAGAGGGTGTCATGGTTGTAGTTGTGAGGAACCCACCTCACACAGACCTTCCTATTTTCCTTGGAAAACATGTGCTCTGATGGTGGAAAGGTGCTCCACAGATAAAACCTCCCCCTCATTCAGTCTTCTCAGCGAGGCCTGTTTTTGGCTTGCCTCTGGGGTGTGTGGGGCAGAAGCTGTCACAAGGGGCTGATGTTGATGAGGTGCCAGGTCAGGGTGGGCTGCAGTCAAGGGCTTGGAGAATGGTAGGCTTGTGACGTGGGGTGTGACTTAAGGGGAAAAAAACCCACATAACTGTTTTACTTTACCACCCCTTTTTTTTTCCTTCTCGTTTCGCCTTCCAGGGAGCCCATCCCAGCAGGGCCTCCCTCTAGAGTGGGAGCCCATCTCTGGCCATGCCTACACCAGTGACATTCAGTACCGTGACCGGGGGCTTGTCATCAATGAGACCGGGCTGTACTTCGTGTACTCCAACGTGCTGTTCCGGGGCAATGTCTGCGACAACCAGGTGCTCACACACATTGTCTACAAGAGAAACCCGAGCTCCCCGGGCAGCTACGTGCTGATGGAGGACAAAGGCATCAACTACTGCACGGGTCACAGGACGTGGGCCCGGAAAAGCAACCTGGGGGCTCTATTCAGTCTCAGGAAGATGGACAGTGTGCATGTCAATGTCTCCAAAATCGCTCTTGTTAATTTTGAGGAATCCAAGACTTTCTTCGGCTTGTTTAAGCTTTGAAATCGAGTGTGGTCAGCAGCCCCCCCTCACACACACACTAGGGTGTGAGGGCTACCTGAGTGCAGTGGCCAAACCAGGGTCACACACCACAAAACTCACCAAGAAACCATGTTTTGGCCTTCAGTGTGAAAGAGTTCAAGCCGCTGGCAAAGGCTTGAAAGCAGACACCTGGGAAGCACCAGAGCTGTATTGTGTCATCCTGAAGAGAACTGGACATGTTCTCCTTACAAAGAAACCCCCAACAAACTCAAAATGTGATGTGCTGAAGACCCCATTGAAACTCAGTACTTGCTACCTGAGAAGAGGCTGGGGCCTGCAGCCTCACGTGGTGTCATGGCCCTGGTGAGCTTGGGCCAGCAGGGACAGCTGGTGGGCATTATGGAGGTCCCTTGAGCCAGGACTGCAAGTGTTGTGCCACAAGGGTTGTGCCATACTGCAGGGAGTGGTGTGGGAATGAGTAGTGCCAACAACTGCTCACCCCGTGCCATGGCTGCCCACCCTGCCTGGGCACGGGGCTCTGTGCCTGCTGTCCGACAGGCACCTGCCTGCAAGTTGGGCTGTTACAGCTGGTATGTTCATTTTGTGTTTAGTTATTGAACTGTTCCCATCCCAGAAAATGCTCCTCAACCCCTTTATTTAACTCATCCCAACTGTCTTGCAAGGAACATGCTAGAAGCAATGGTGGCATGAGGGGAGTTCTGACCCTGGAGTGGCACCATGACCACATTGTGGGGATGGGGCTAGTGGGGAGGCCATGTGCTGACAGGATCTGAACAACAGGGCAGTGAGGTTTAAGGTGAAAGCAGCATTTCCAACCCCCCTCCTGCCCTTTCAATGTGTGAGGATCCTCTGTGGAGAGCTGGTCTGCCACCCCTTTCATGATGCATGTGGTGACATGCTGACATCTATCCATGGCATGGCATCACCTGGCCCCCTTGTCATGAGATGTTGTCTCCTGAGCAAAACACAGATGGTAAATAAAGATATATTTTTCTAGTAAGTGACACTGTCCTCTCCTCATTTGGTGCAACAGGTTTCTGCAGTGGCCAAAACACTGAAGGCCTCTGTGATCAGGGTCCAGCACCTTGTTCCTTCTCCAGCAGCATGGCAGAAATCTGAGAGCCTTATCCCACTTCACTGCCTACTTGGCACTGCACTGGATCCCTTCCATGGAGCTTTGGGGCTCCAGCATGCAAACATCAGTATTTGGGGTTTGGGGAGGTGTGATGTGGGCAGCACAGACCGGACAGCCCAAGCCCCTTGGACCATCAGGCAGGGCCTGACTTCAAAACACAGGCTTGAACTTGAGTGGAGCCAGATGCTTTTTGCTGAGCAGAAGCACTGCTGTCCCCAAAGACACCGTGGTCCTCTGTGTGACTTCTCACAGGGCAGTCTGAAGGACAAGGAAAGGAAGTGGTGTAAAAAGAAAAAACCTATTTGCTGACTCTGGTGTCTGGTCGGTGCAGTTCTATCCCCAGAGTTGTCTGTCACGCTACCACCAGGCAGGACCCAAAGGCTGCAGCTGTGTTGCATCATCACTTTTGCCTGTGGTTGCGCCTTCTTGCAGCTCTGATGTTGGTCTGCTCTTCAGCAGTCTGCAGCATTTATTTGCTTTTCTGCCGTGCTGCTCTCAGCTTGGTGGTGTGTGGCCTGTGGTTTGCTGTTTCTTGCTTCAGGTAAGCCTATTTCTTGGAAATTTGTCAGTGATCTGGCTACTGGTGTGTCCAGTATGAAGGGAACACTGCACCTCTGCTCACACACCCCTTGGTGCACTCAGATGGTTCCACTGCATTTCTCAGGATGGAACATACATCAAACAGATGAAGTTTAGGGACCTTTTGTCTTGACTGACTCTTTCTTACTGCCCCACCCCGCTAATATCAGAGGAGCAAAACACATAGCGCAGATACGGAGATGCTGGATCCAGACCCTGCCATTCTCTTGCCATTGCTGTTTGAGCTGTGTTGCTCTCCTAGTGGTGAGACTCCCAAATGGGGAGTGGGAATCTGTATGTACTCCTGCCTGCAAGCTTTTCAGCTGTTTCTGTAGCAAAACTAGCTGAGCACATCACGTGCTTCCAACAGCTTGGAGAAAGTCAGAGTATTCTGTGCCCAGAGGAAGTCTTACTGAGGTTATGCTCTCTGCTAGTGTGGTGTTGGAAGGGTTGGAAAGCTCCTAAAGGTTTCTCTCCGTCAGCACCTGGTAATTCATCCAGACTGTGACTGTAGCTGCCTCTGGGGCAGGATGCAGCAGTTGCTATTGCTGCACATCATGAGGGGACAGGCATCTGTTTGTCTTTTTATCTGAAATGCTAAAGGCAATGGAGACCTGCACGTTTCAGAGACAGCGTCACAGTGAAGTGAACAGCCTTGTTACACGTGAGTAGTGCTGGGGTCTCCTGAGGTGGACAGAGCTGGCTTATCCCTGCAGGATAAAGCTCAGTGCTGCTAGGTTTGCTCCCGAATCAGAGAGCAGCTGTGACTGGGCGAAGTCAGCAGCACAGATGCCAGTAAGACATGTGTTTCTGCTTTGTGATCCCTTCCTCAAATATCCCTCTAAACTGCTCACAGCAAATCCACTACTTAGCTTGTGGGCTCTGACTAAAGATTCCAAGTAAGATCGTGATAGGATTATGCAATTTCAAACAGCACAGAGTCAGTTCTTAGGCTGCTTTTGCCACAACGGCTTTATTAAAGTCATCTGTTTGTCTAGCTAATGAGCTGTTCATTTAGTGAAATGAGTGCTTATTGTTACCATTAAATACCTAATGAATATTTAATGCTGACATTAGGCTCTGTCAAGCTAAGAGAATTGGGGTTGTTCAGCCTGGAGAACAGAAGGCTCCAGGGGGACCTTAGAGCCCATTCCAGTGCCTAAAGGGGCTCCTAGAGAGCTGAAGAGGGACTTGTGACAAGGGCATGGCATGAAAGAACAAGAGGGAATGACTTTACACTGACAGGGGGCAGGGTTAGATTGGATATTAGGAAGAAATTCTTTACTATGAGGGTGGTGAGGCACTGGCACACATTGCCCAGAGAAGCTGTGGCTGTCCCGTCCCTGGAAGTGTTCAAGGCCAGGTTGGATGGGGCTTGGAGCAACCCGGGATAGTGCAAGGTGTCCACAAACAGCTCTTGTGGGCAGCTGAACCCTTCCCAGGTGATGGCTGTGTGTTTGGATGTGCAGCTGGCCAACTCAGGGCTCTGCACAGCAACTGTTTGTGCTGCTGTGCGGCCGAGCGCAGTGAGGTGCTTGATAAAGATATGGCTCCTTTTGTGGTTGATGCATATCAGATGCTGCACCCTATTTGCCTGCCTTGGTGGAGGAAAAGGGAGAGCAGGATGCCAGTGTCTTGAAAACATTGTGCAGGCTCAGTGTGTGCAGTAAACAAGGTGGCAGAAGGGGCTGCATTATAGAAAGCACTGTATGGGTTGGATCATTGCTGCTTCTACAGCAGAAGTGCAGTGGAAGCAAACAAAATCCTGGTCAGAGAGGAGAAATATTCCCTGGACAGCTATGACCAGCATCCCTCATCCATGCATCCTGACTCTTTACCAGTCTGTGGTTACTCATGATGGGGAGGAAGGTGACTGATGCACAGTGAAGGTAAAGCAAAAGGAACAGTTGCTGATCTCCAGCTCTTGGCTCGGAAACCTCAGAGCTTAGATGGTTAGCTGGAACTGTCACTGGTGAGAGGTGTTATGTATAACTGTTTCTGTAGCCCTCCCAGGGAGAAGAATATGAGTAAGAATGGAAGAATTGATATATCTGAAGACACTCAAATTCTGTGAGTTCAGGCAGTAACCTTATGTTTGATCTGACAAATTCTAGTGGTTTTTTACAGGTTGATTATTGTTTCCCTTTTTTTTTTTTACCTCCTTCATTTACCTTAAGCTAGACTTGGGCTCTCTAAGTTTCTGTTACAATGTCTTGTGGGGTCACATCTTCCAGCTCAAGGAGCTGTACAGACTCTGGCAAATTTTTACCAGGTTGTGAAGGAGCATTGTCTAGTGGTTAGAGATAGGAGAAAAAGGAAGAGATATAGACTTAGATATTGTTATTATTCTCCTAGTGGCCTGGCATGGCTATATTACATCATGATTACAAAAGTGTAATTTTAGGCATCTAAGTGAGGTTCAACGCAAAACAGAGCATGAGATGAGTAAAGAGAGAAGAAATTTTGCTGCAAGGTGAGGCAAGTTGCATGAATTTCTTGTTGATTTTAATTATTGAAAAAAAAAAAGATGAAAAGCTTGACAACTTGTTGCTGATTCATCTCTTGGTGTAATGCAGAGAGTCAAATGTTCCATTCCTTGCATATAACCTGTTACAGGAGATGTGGGACTTTAGTCTGGGGTGGAGGAGTTGGCTGGCAGTGACAGCAGTGGTGTCTCCTGCCAGGCAGAGCTGTGAAGACATGCTGAGCTCCCCAGCCCCTGCCTGTGGTGAGATCAGCAGTGCTGCTTTAGGCACTGGCCTGGCTGGTTACCCCTACCAAGACATCAGCAGGCACATGAACAGGCACACAGGTTTCTGTTGTAAAGACTCACTTGTTTTGAAAATCAGCTACTCGTTCCTCTGGGTAGCAAAGAGACTAAAACTCTAGCTGGAATAACAAAACCCAGTGTGCTTTCCTCTGTCTCAGTTGCTTCCCCATTCTTCAGCATGCTCTCTATTACTCAGCTCTCTCCCCCCTTACAAACCCTCACAGAGATTTCACATCTCTCTCTCTTTTCCCCATACTTCATAACCAGTTTCCTTCAACAATAATTGAAAAAGTCTCCTGTCCATTTTTCTTCTGTTGTCGGGTGACTCCCTCAGTCCCCCTTTGTCAGGTCATTCTTGGGGAGTGAAAGACAGCTGGTCAGATAATTCCCTGGGACCTTCAGCTTGGAAAGCTGCACTGGCAGGGGAGTAGCTGGCCTTTTGAGCCATCTGAATAACTAACAAAACTGGATTGTGTCCCCTCCTGAGCCTCATGCTGGGGATATGCATTTCTCCTGATGTTTCTCTCTCTCCTCACTAAAGTGAGGTTTATGCCAACACACAGGCAAAAGATTTCAATCAAAAAGGCATCAGAGAGGAACATTTGTGTCTCCTAATAAGGTTTCTACATGGAGAACAGATATCCAAGATTTAGCTTTCATTGAAGTCCTGAAAGAGAAGTCCAAACCATGGAAGATCAGAAAACTCCTCACAATCCATGGAAATCCTGCTTGCTGGGCTGGAGGATGTGACTCAGGTAATGCTGATGGATGGAAGGGGATGGTAGTTTCTTAATTTGGTTTGAACCATCCTTAGGTACTGTCTCCTTGCCTCAAAGTGTTTATTTTGTCACCATATACATTTTATTCTGCACAGGGGGATGTTTAGTGGCAAGACATGGTGTAATCCATCTGTCAGTCTATCCATCCTCATAGTCACTGTACCTAAAGCCCTCCAAGGCTCAGATTAAACATGTTTCAGAGCTGGTAGGATTGCAGTGCTACAAGAGAAATACCAGTGCTGTGCACAGGACCCCTGGAAAGGAGCAGAGCACCAACTGCACAGCTCCCTGCTGGCACCAGGCTCTTTACAGTGGCTGTAGGTGGCACAGGGTACAGGGAGCTTCTGCCTCCAAGTGCTGATTTCTCTCTCCTGTGGGACCCTACTCTGAAAGTGCTCACCAGCACTTCAGCCAAAATTGTTCTCCCCACGGCCATCCTTTGTCTTCATG